CACCTCTCTCTGCCTAGAGGTACACGGGCACTGCAGCCGCAGTTGTCAGTGCTGTGCAGACATGCGAAGGGTCAGGCTGTACCCTGAGGTGTAGGATAGGATGTGCCTGTCTCATTTGTCTGAACTCCTGCCTGTGCTGTCCCCCAAAGGCTGAGGACAGACCTGAGGCCATGGTGGTTCGGCTGTACGAGGCGCATGGCAGCACAGTTGTCGCCTGGCTCCAGACCTCCCTACCGGTTAAGGAGGCAATGCTGTAAGTCCGTGCTGGAGGGCAGGGTTCATGTGGGATGGAAATCAGTCACTTCAGCCTCACCCATTGCTTTGTTCCCCAGCTGCGACCTCCTGGAGCGGCCAGCTGCCCAGGGCCGCCTGCCGCTGGAACAACGGGGCGTGAGGCTTTCTTTCACACCCTTCCGCGTGCTCTCCGTCCTCCTGGTCTTGAGGCAGTGACACCATCCGTCACCCTTGCTGATTCCACAGCAACCTGGACCAACACTGTGAGCTCACATCAAAGCCTATGGTTTTCCCCAAACCCAAGAGCTGCGGAAGGAGGTGGTGCTTCCAGGGAATGGCAGTTTCCTCCTCACCCCCCACCCAGCCGTCAGAGAGCAGCACTGAAAACAATCATGTTCTTCAGGAAAGGAGGACAGTTGCCCCCGCCTAACCAGGGAAGGAGGGCCTGAGTCAGCTTCTAGGTAGCTGAAGCGAGGGTGACATTGTGGGACAGGCTGTCCCTGCACGGGCTCTGCTGCAACCCTGGGGGGGTTGAGGAGAAGCAGCTGTAAAGGCACACTCAAGTCATTCCCCTCTCCCTTTGCCTGCCTCTTGCACTGCCCTTGCAGAAGGGGAACAAAAGTAAACAAGAAAATTACATGAAAACAAGTTCCAGCTTGCTTTTTGTTTAACATATTTCCAGGTAACTGCACTGATCTGCCTCCTCCTAGGAGTTCTGTTGTAGCCTCTTCTCCCTTCACAGCCTCCTCAGCAGAATCTGCTCCTGACACGGGGGAGGCAGAGCTTACCTTGATTTTTTTTGGAGGGGTGAGGTGGAGGGGAAGCCTGCTCCAGTCCATCTGGGCTTATCCTTAGCACAAAAATGCATGCACCATGTTTTCTGCACAAAAATATTTTATTAGCTAAAAACAGTGATCCAAACAGCAGTCAGAAAGCAAAGAGAAGGAAGAGGGAAATTCATTTTTAGGCAGAGGGAAGAGTCAGAGTCCAGCACGATGTCTGGTCTGTGGCTCTTATCCCCCTCAAATGCTGGGGCCAGCAGGAGGATGCTGGATACATCAGCCCCATCACCAAGCCCAGCTTCTCCTGGGGCAGGATGCAGCAGTAGCAAGTGGACATGAGCACAGGTACAGAGCAGCCCC